GTTCGTTCCAAAATACAGACATCATGATTCTTTTGAAAATTTTCCGCCACGTCGTTCTCCCATATACACAGACTAGCTTTCCCCTTTTTATTGCACGATTTTTCTCTTTTGATATCGAAGCAGAAAAACAAAAAAAAAGAAACTACTCCACCTTCGTTTGAACGTTCAAGCTCTGAAATTTAAAACTGGATCAATCTCGTGTATCCATTCTCGTGTAACTATCTACAGGGGTACTTTGTTCGCTTTCCTCGTTGAAAGCAATCAAGTTCCCCAAAAGGAGTCAAAGTCTCTTGTGTGTCAGTCAAGTAAGGTCAACTATACAGTCTAATCTATTAAAGACAAATTATACAGTTAGTAACAGTTTATACTTCGGGCAAACTTCAATAAAGTGGCAACGATTCATAACGTAATATAATATAATATAATATAATTCTAACAATTGAAAAAGCTCATAGTGAGAAACATATAAAACATACGAGAGCTTGATCCATCCAGAAACAAAAGTGAATGTTTGAATGATTGAACTTTAGTCTCTATATACGAAAGAACAACTTTACAAAGTGTTATCCTTCAACAATTTAATCGTGGATATCTTTGTAAGACAACCACTTATAGCGAATCAAAGGGAAGTAGACGATTTTACATGTTATTCTCGCGTGTAGTACGCTTAAACGTTAACATTTTTTTAAGGACTCTAGAGCCCGAACGAATATTTTTTGTTTTTATATTTTAATGATCGTTGATCCGCCTATCATTAACGACGTTCAACGACAAATACTACAGATATATGCAATAGGCAATGTCGTTGCGATGCGTGTTGCGCTTAAGAAAAATTTTCCTTCTATTTCCCATCCTTTTATCATTCCTCATCTTTCCTGTAGCAAAAAACGACGATGTCCGAAAGCACTCGTTCTTAGTAGCTGCATGAGTGTGTTTTGTAGTACAACAAAGTATATAGATGTCTGCAAAATATAGACGTGTGCAAAAATGTATCCGGCGTGCTGGTGTCATTGTACAGGTCCTCTTCATCTTCGTTCGTTGATGCGCTTACTTTTCTTTTCGTCGATCATCCTTTCACTTCCACCTAATTTTTTTCCATGGATTAGACCGTGATCCAACTGTTTAAAACTCTACTTTCATCTATCTTTACATCGATCGATCCGTTTCAATTTCGTCTAAAATAAACAAGATTCCAGCAAGATGCCTCGTTGAGACGGTGGTTTTCGAGCTCGGTAGCGGGTATCGTGTTACCAATATTGGAGTGGATTAATTCAAAATGCAAGCGACAATCACGTTGGTGGCGATGATGGTGATGATCTGGCTGTATTACACTTAAGATTTCTACTCGAAGCTTCGTCCGTCCGAAATCTCGTGCCATCACAACGCACATCTCTTCCTTCTTCTGCGGTGTGGCAGTGTCCGCCTTGCGGCATTTTGCATAATTTATAGATCTTTCCTTGTCTTTGTAGAATTTTTATGGGACGTAGCGCGACTGTCCCTGTCCCCCGAAACGTGTCGATCCGAGGCGTATCGAAGGCGTCGTAAAATAGTGGACGTAATGATTGGATATAATGATTATTCATTGGATCACGTGCATTGTTGCCGATTTTCGAATATCAAACGATTTGTTGGAATTGTTCTTTAAACCGCCCCAAATAGACACGATCGGAGTAAAATGTTACTTAGATCACTAGTAACTTAATGCGTGGATTATTTTTTTTTTTTTTGTTTTCGTCTTCTTCAATATACGATAGGTATAACTGTACAATAGTAAAACACAGCACGTCTATAGGATCTTACTATTTTGTTCTAGGCAAATTACTAGTAACTCGTTCTTTTGTCCATTTTCATTCCGTCTGATATTCATTCGTTACTACGTTATATCCCTTGTTTCATCTCGTTTCATTCTCATTTCATGATTAATTTTTCATTTTGTTTCACGTCGTTAAAATAAATACAGTACCGCCTTAATTAATTCCAACATTTCCACATTGTATTTTCTTTTTTTTTTTTTTTTTTTTTCCTTCCTTTTTTCCCCTCAGAAAAACTCCGCCTCGCGTTATAATCGCACAAGAATTTTACGTTTTTTCTTTTTTTTCTTTTTCCTTTTTTTAATTTGCTCGTTTAACTTACTATGGAATACAACTGCATATGATCAGTTAATAGCATAGAGTTACAGTGTTACAACATTAAGAATCTTAGTGTACAGTGTGGCTCACGTATATGTGTATTGCACAGGTATGTCTCTGAATCTTTCCTCAATCTTTTCCCCAATTCTCCTGTGGCTAAAGTCTCTCTCTTGTTATGTCTTTGGGTGTGCATGCGCGCGTGTACGTGGTGTGTGTATATACGTGTACATACGTGTGTCTGTCATTCTCGGTTCGTGTTTGAGAGTCGGCTGAAAATCGATCGCAGAACTGCACTGATCTGTCTGCTGATCGGAATATTCTCAACGCCAGTTTTCCATCTTTCGCTTCTTCTCTCAACAATTGAGTGTGTTGTTTCCTTTTTTTTTTTTTCTTTTATGCTAGCATTGCATGTCCAAAGTATCGATCAAATCGAAAATATCATCAACTTTTCGAAACCCGCTTCTAATCTCTCGTCTTCTCAGCTGATCTGGCGCGACTCTGTTCTTGCCTCTTCGTAAAGAGATTTTTTTTTTTTTTTCAATTTCCTCAACAATTTCCTCATCAACTTGCCATAAAATTCATTCCCCGTTCTATCTCTTCTTCGTTCGGTATTCTTTTTCCTCCACTCATTCCCGTCCTCATGCATCCACGACTTTTTTCTCTCCTTCTCTCTCTCTCTCTCTCTCT